TATATAAAAACGTAAGTAGTCCTACCGTATGATTTGTATATCGCTAAAGGTTACAGACAAGCTAAGGCTGGTAGACTCTGCGGCGGTGTAATCTTGACGGTCAAAAACACAATAACCACATACTGCCAACAAATAACAACTGATACAGATAACGGTGTGTGTTTAAAGTTTGACAAAGCATTGTGTAACAGCAATGCTATTTTTACTCAAAGCTATTTTGGGTTGAGTCACGTCCGGAGTGATCGCTGACTTTGTGTGCTGGCGATAAACTGCCTCACTTTGACAGTGTGGGTTCGAATCCCGGACGGGACCAAAAAGACTCCATTAATCTGCACTTTACAAAGAAAGTTGGTTGGTTGGTTGGTTTGTTGTCCAGCAATAGTCCAGCTATATGACGGCGGTCTGTAAATAATCGAATATGGACCAGACAATCCAGTGATTGACATCATGAGCATCGATCCACGCAATTGGGATCGATGACATGTATCAACCAAATCAGCGAGCCTGACCACCCGATCCCGTTAGTCGCCTTTTACGACAAGCAAAGTCGCCTTTTACGGCAAGTATGGGTTGCTGAAGATCTATTCTACCCCGGAATCTTCACGGGTCTACAAAGAAAGTGTTATCCCAAAACATAACATTTGTTACATTTGACCTCTTTCTAAATGGCATCGTCTGTTCATGTTCGCACGTTCAAGTTATAATGCCGAGAATCTAGAAACATCGTATAAATATAGATGTGGTGTGTATTAAGTTACATTACTTTTAGATATTCTTAATAATTCGTACCCTTCAGTTAATGAAATCACAAGTATATTGGAAACTAATATCAGTCGTGGTTAGAAATGTTTGTAAACATTATTCTCAATGCAGCCGAATGTATGAAAACCCTGTTACAAATATTAACACTCCACATATAAAAGGGTTTTATAATTTGATCTGTGTACGGGCTTACCTGAAGCTAGACGACATCTGAGAAAACTCCGACAAAACCAGTCAAATGAAAGTAAAGATATTTAATGTCACATAAGTGAGTGAGTGAATATGATTTTATGCCGTCTTTAGCACTACTCCAGCAATATCACTGCAGGAGTCAACATTGTACCCATGAGGGGAATCGAACCCGGGTCTCCGGTGCCACGAGCAAACGCTTTAGCCACTAGACTATCCCATCCTCACTATATCGCCACTATATTGTCACACATATATATGCAAAGTATCAAAATAGTGAAAACAGCTATACCACCGACCATGTAGAATGCCTTGTGTTGATATATGCATTCTGGAGTCGCCCATCATAAAACAAGAGAATCAGGCAGCAATCTCCACATGATGTTATCATTGAAATGCTAATGTTTTCATAACTTTCTATATTCCAATCTTAAGAAATGTATCTTACAAGATATTTGATTCTGGTGTGTTTCCTGAGTCCTGGACGAAGACAACCATTATTCCATTTCATAAGGCAACAAACACAATCCAAATAATTACAGAGGAATATTTATTATATACATAAGTGTGAAAGACTGAGTTTTACGAAGTTGAGGAAAGTGCTATTTTCATTTCAGTGAACATAACAATTCCTATATATTTCCCTGCAGAGAACATAACTCTTGATATTTCACGTCACTCGATGAGGAAAACATGATATTTCGCTCGACACTTGAAATATCCTCTATATCTCCTTTGTGTGAAGTTTGTGAAAAGTATTCCTCAATATTTAATAGAAGACTTTGTGGCTGTTAGAGATAAAGAAACATAAACTCAAGCTGGTTTTCGACGGGCATATTCTGCATTGTATCATGTTTTCACGCTAAAGCGATGGTATTAAATGTTTATCAAAGAAGATAAAGAAACTCCACGTTGTCTTTGTTGAGCATTCGATCCTACTGTTCGTATTTCAGCTTTGGAGTTGTTTGTACGCATCTGGTTTAAGCGGGAGAATGTTAAAAGCCCTTAAAGCCATCTGTTCATTGGAGTAAGCATGTGCCAGATGCAGTGCTGGCTATGTTGACTGTCCTATTGGTTTAAAACAAGGTTGTATATTAAGCCCGCCTTTATTCTCCTTCATCAATCAATTATCTTTGGAAATTTTAGACAACATCAAATATGACGTACAATTTTTCCTGATGTACTTGAAATCTTTTTGATGATGTTTGCAGATGTGATGATGTTATACTTGTATCTGATGTGGTATGGGGGTTACAGATTCGTATGCAGATGTATGGGGTTAAAAAGTAAATCAAGACAGGACAAATATTGTGGTATTAAGAAGAGGTGAACGTTTATCGAGAAATGTAAAATGGTTACATAAAGGTGAAAATCTTTCAAGGGTTGACTCATACAGATATTTAGGAATATTTTTTTCATCTACAGGTAAAACATGAATAAATGTATTTTAGATTTTACTTCATCCAGAAGTAGACGTGCGTTAATGTGAGTGATCCATCATTCTATTAACATGGTTTGGTTGACCCATCTGTGTTCTTTTAGGATATTCGACACCCAAATTCATCCCACTTTATTATATGACTCTGAGAGGTGGGATATAAACAGATTTGAAAAGATTGAAACTGTCCATTTAATTGCTTGCAAGACATTTCTCAAGGTTGGTCCCCTGACACTTGATGTACGTATCCCCGTGTTGTGGGGTTTCGGACGCCAGACACACAAGCTTAGTTTTCTCTCTAATCACGCGAACAACTGTAAAACATCTCATTCACTTATAAAAAAAGACAACTTTCTCTAAAAGACAAGCCATCCTCTGCGTGTTTACAATGTCGACGTCTTTGTGATGCTACACCCTTACTCCGCCAAATCCAGTTGGCACTATATAGTGAAGATGTCAGGGATAGTCGGCAGTGTTGATGATGGTGCGAGTCCACGCGACTAGTGTCAAGGCTCGTTGACAACTGCATCTCAAATGTTCATCTCATATGATTAATATGAGAACGAGAGCACCACCAGGGCAAACTGTGAATGCACTCAATCCGGCCTCTGATATCCGAACTGAGAGCGTGATATCAAGTCACAGTAGTAATTTCCCTCACTGGCGAGACGTATGAGGATGTAATATCAGATGATGGAATAATATCTATACCGAAAATATAACAATTTTATTAATTTGGTCATGTGCTCAACGCGGTCAGTTATAGCTGAAGAGTTCTCGTTCATATTTATGTGCTTACCAGGAGGTGGGGCGGTCGGGTAGTCTAGTGGTTCTAATTAAAGCGTTCGCTCGTCACGCTGAAGACCCGGGTTCGATTCCCGACATGGGTACAATGTGTGAAGCCCATTACTGGTGTCCCCCGCCGTGATATTGCTGGAATATTGCTAAAAGCGGCGTAAAACCCCACTCACTCACTCACTGACTACCAGGATATTGCAGGACGTTGTGATTTCGAGAGATTGACAATGACACATTGTCAACTATATTTCTTCACTATCTTGATAAACACAACGTATATTTTTCACCCACAGGCTCTAATATCGATGTTTGGCTCGAACTACATATAACTCGACATAAACAAATATATAATATATACTTATGTCGAGTTATCCGTAGATCGAATCGATACAAGTGATCAATCTCGTGGGAGGGAGACATACAACTAACTCCTCTCAAAGATAAAACGTCAGAAAAACAGCAGTTAAATACATTGTCGTTTTTATAGCTTCAATCAATTTGTAGTATTGACAAAATGGGAATTCCCTTGTGGCGTGTCAGGTCACGTGTTGTTTGAAGTCTTTTGTCATTTGTAATGGCTCGATGACTATCTTTAAAATTTGATTATTGTTACATTCCAAGGCAAACAGTACACTAAACCAAATAAGCATAAATACAATAAAGGAAGTCGGCACGTACATGTCATAATATTAAACGTCCAAACGGTTACTTTACGAGGGTGTATGTGACCAACACAACAAACATCACAGAAGACATTGGCACATTCGACATATTAATGACGAGAATGAAACTAATTGAGATAGATTCAGTTATTAGATTGATGGAGCGGTCTGGCGGTGTAGCCATGCTGCCCATCTGACATTTCAACAGCAATCGAGTGTGGGCATTGTGGAGCGGTGAATACAGCCGGAGTTGCTTCAGTGAGTGAGTGAGTGAGCGCGTGCGTGAGTGAGTGAGGTTTTACGCCGCTTCTAGCAACATTCCAGCATTATCACGGCGGAGCCATTAGAAATGGGCTTCAGAATGGATGTGTAGGTGGAAACGGGTATCTAATCAGGCTTTCAGTCGGTCGTTTGTATCATTAAGCTGATGTACCGCTATTTTCCCAACACATATCTATATGACCATTTTGTACTGCTTGTTTGTTTGTTGTCTAACGCCACACTCAGCAATATTCCAGCTGTAAATAAATCAAGTAAATCTGTAAATAATCGAGTCTGAACCAAACATTCCAGTGATTGACATCATGAGCATCGATCCACGCAATTGGAATACGATGACATGCATCAACCAAGTCACTGAGCCTGACCACCCGATCCTGTTAGTCGACATGTGTCATTTAGTCCCATGTGGAGCTTACATGCCGCGATATAGTTCACATTCCGGTCAATGCGGCGTTACGTTGGTCTGTAGGATCAACGCGGAGATCGGGTGGCGTCAAGGGCCGCAGTGTCTATCAAACAGACAAGTCATTGCCTGAAAACGAAGGTCGGTTTTAGCCCCCACCCAAGTCCCCACCTACCAACACACCCAAACACCCACCCAACACAAACACCATCTCCACCGTCATTCACCTTTGACACCCTCACTCACTTTAGTTGCGAGACTGGAAAAGAGTTCCTGCTTCCAATATCAATTTTAAAAATATGTTAAACTATATTTTTAATGTTCCTAATGCATAACATATTCGGAAAAAAAGACTATTTCAAAATAAATTGTTTCAAGTTATGTTTGTTCCTGTATACTGTTTGATGTGATGTGAGCTATGACTTTCACTTTATTAAACAAGATGGAGTTTGATGAGTCTACTCACGTGCAGTCTATTTTCCTAGACTGTGCGACACAGGACACGGCAACGAGGACCAAGCCGAGGACAACCATCACTCTCTCATAGGACGCGCCGTGACACATCATGGCTGTAAAATAAAGATCAGACCGTATAGTCGGCGGATCAATGGTGACGGGCTGTACAGTCGATGTGTCGGTGAATGGGCCCTTTACTACCATTCAATAGCACCGACCTCGACATAGATTTGCATAGATCACATAAACTTTGTCCCTGAAGGCTCACCAATTTGTCAATCACATGAAACACGCTGTGGTGTATTTGTAGGTGTGAGTGAAAAGCTTCCGGAGACACTTAACCAATCGCCTTGCCGCCCGGCCTCGATGCTTGGGGACTAACATGTCTGAATGAAAGACAGAGAAATATGCATGTGGGTCGTTCTGCGACTCGTACTTGAGGAGGTGCGGGGGTGGGGGTGGGGGTGAGGCAGGGGGTGTTCCCCCTTGATGCCTAAAACCAAGGTTGGACGAGTTGGGCCGACCGCCGCTTTCAGCAATAATCCAGACATATCGGTATGGTACCAACAATGGGTTTATTGAAAATATTATTGGGTTATGTCTATCGGGAACTAATGAAATAAGTTTTGTTGAATTATTGCCAAATCGTGTTACTCAAAGACCTAAATATAGCTTTGAAGACAATGCGGTGCTTATGTCTAACGTTATCGACAAAGCTGAATTTCTAAATAATGTTTAAACGTCAATTCCCAGCTAAAGAATAACTACTAACATTCATATTTGAAGTAGCAGATTGATCCGCCGTCACATGATCCAGGTATAGAAACAAAGAAACATACAAAGAAATAAGTTCTTCCAGAAAACAATGTGTGAAATACGTAACTCAACCAAATGATGAATATCATTTCATTTGGATAATATTATTATCTGACAACGTACGGACAAACTATTTACCATTCCAGATCACGAAAGCATACACTCATGTATCCGTGGTTTGACTTGTAATGAGAAAATGAGTTTAAACCACTTTAAACCCTGCTTCAGCTTCATCACGGCTACAGGGTAGTCTCATGGGTGATGGAGGCTAACAAATACGGTGATACCCACGAGCATGGCAATGATGCTGTGATTCACAACCAGCAGATCCTTGCACGGTTAAGGGACACAACTAGGCATTGCAACTCGCGGGGTTATTAATAAGGCCCGTTGGTAATCCAGTCAATACCAAACACGCACTGTATTCTGGATTTGGATATTCTGAGATTCAATTGGCTTCGTGATGCCAGTGCCAGATGTTCCGAGTTGGTCAAATTACCCTGGCTTCCCCTGTGTTCATGTTATCCGTTGTATTACGCATCCCGGGCTTGTCAAGTTATGTTTGTGTTGGGATCGTGCCTGCTGACAAATTGGACTATTAACCATTAGTCAGGTCGTACTATACGTATGTCTTCTCCTTGTCAGGACTGATCTGTAGCCCTGGATGTCGACTGCTGGTCTTAATCTAGGACAGTAGCATGGCGACAGTTCACACTGCAGTGACGTTTCAACTCCCCCTCCCTTCTCCCTCACCCCCTCACACTCGTTTCTTGCTCTTGCTTCCCCTTCTTCCCTTAATCCCTTACTCACCCCTCTCCCTCATCCCTAGTTCCTCTTCTCTCTTCTAACAACCTAACCCTCACCCTCGCCCCTCGCCCCTCACTCCACACCCCTCGCGAATCATCCCTCTCTCCTCACCCCCTCGCACCTCACCCCCACCCCTCGCCTCTCACCCAACACCCCTCGCGAATCATTCCTCTCTCCTCACCCCCTCGCCTCTCACTCCACACCCCTCGCGAAACATCCCTCTCTCCTTATCCCCTCACTCCGCACCCCTCGCGAATCATCCCTCTCTCCTCACCCCCTCGCCTCTCACTCCACACCCCTCGCGAATCATCCCACTCTCCTCACCCCCTCACCCCACACCCCTCGCGAATCATCCCTCTCTCCTCACCCCCTCACCCCACACCCTCGCGAATCATCACTCTCTCCTCACCCCATCACCCCTCGCCCCTCACCCCACACCCCTCGCGAATCATCCCTCTCTCCTCACCCCCTCACCCCACACCCCTCGCGAATCATCCCTCTCTCCTCACCCCCTCACCCCACACCCCTCGCGAATCATCCCTCTCTCCTCACCCCCTCGCCTCTCACTCCACACCCCTCGCGAATCATCCCTCTCTCCTCACCCCCTCAACCCACACCCCTCGCGAATCATCCCTCTCTCCTCACCCCCTCGCCCCACACCCTCGCGAATCATCACTCTCTCCTCACCCCATCACCCCTCGCCCCTCACCCAACACCCCTCGCGAATCATCCCTCTCTCCTCACCCTCTCGCACCCCACCCGTCGCGCCTCACCCCTCTCCCCCTGCCCACGCCCCTCCTGACTCCCCGCCTCGCTCTTCCACCCGTCTCTCCCCTCACACCCGATTTCACAATTGCTAAAAGCGTTCCACAAAAATACCATTCGGTCGCGAAACATGGTGATAATGGTTCATTTGACCTGGCATCACCCGTCCTAAGCCACATCTATGCGTGCAGTGCAGGTTGAGACCCAGTAACGACACATTAGAGATACTATCGGCGCCACTAGTCCCTACCCATGCGTGTGGGAGGAACGTTATACGTACTGACTGAATGCTGCTCTGGAGCTTTCCTTTCTATTTTCCACATATATAACTTAAATATTCTCTGTGGACGTACAGAAGGTAAGCTCCCTGCAATGTCACCGATATAGGCCCAGGATACAATGGTAATACAGAGTCGGAGACTCGGGGTGCCAGTTTGTTTCTAATACACATTGCCTTATATATGTACATCGGCCGATTTTGATGTGTATTCGTTTGTGGACGACATTAATACAGTAAACTTGTGTATAGGTATAATAGTCCATTCTTAAAAACAATGACCTGGTCTTATCCAATTTAACCACTGTGCAGGTTCAGGGTGGAACTGGATACCTGGTCCGCAGGAGACCTCTCCCTTAACTGCTAATTCATTTACAAAAAGAGTGAACAATAGCGGACTTAAAATACAGCATTGTCTTAGCCCCCAAAGGGCACTCAAAAGCATGGTAACCATTATTATTAGCCCTGACACAGGCTTTAACACATTTGTAAAACTTGAAGAAAGTTTACAGATATTCCATAATTTAACTCTAGTACTAGGTGAAATGCGTTCTTAAAATCAACAAAAAGTGCATATATTTTCCGCTTATTCTAGACAGGTAACGTTGGATGACAGCTTGTAAAATAAAAATACTGTCAATAGTGCTATAGCCTTTGCGAAAACCTGCTTGTGATTCCACAGTATTAACACAAGTGTTGGACCAATAAGTTAACCTACTGTTTAGCACTGTTGTATATGCCTCTCTAATTCCTTTGTAATTGTGCGGGTAGTGAGTATCACCTTTCATGCAGTGGAATACTTATGCCAGTACACAATGAAGCTGGAAAGTAGCCTGTACTAAGCAATATATAAAATACAAGTTCCATACATGGTACAATAATGTCTTTTGCAGCTTTAGAGAAAATCTGGGATTACATAATCAATGCCCGAAGATTTATTACATTTCAAGTCCCTAATTGCTTTAAATATTTATTCCTTCGTAAGAGGAGAGTCTAATATTTCTTTAGTTATGTCAGCAATATAACTGTTTGCATCAGTTCTGCTGGCGAAGGCACCTTCGCCGTCATCATCCTTCAAGTCATGTTCGACCGCCTCCGTGGTCTAGTGGTAGAGCGTCCGCCCGGAGAGCGGAAGGTTCGGGGTTCGATCCCTGGCCGCGTCATACCAAATGACGTTAAAAGATGGAACTTGTTGTTACCCTGTCTGGCGCTCGGCATAAAGGGGCTAAAACAAGGACTGGTCGGCTCGGAGTCAGTATTCATGTTAAACTGCGGCATGGTATCTCAGTGGGCTAGCACTATAAATCGGCATCAGTCCGGACTAGTACAAGCAGTTACACAAACACACACACATACGTGCATGCACGTCGCTATATAAGTGCAATAATCTTGGACGCGACGTTAAACCCAATATCACCTCACCTCACCTCAAGTCATGTTCAGGAGTGTCCAATAATCTTTTAAAATATTCAAATCACTTTTCAGTCGTTACTGGCGACTTATGTAAATCTGTAACCTTGAGTTGTTATAGAGTCCTCCGAAGTCTTTTGACTTCATGCATGCTGGATAATAATTTATCTTTCATTTTGTCAGAATGTAGACGTTTCTTATCACGTAAAATACTGGTATATATATTCCGATATTTCATGTACAGTTATAATTAGGCATTATCCTTGCATCGTCCAAAACATTTAAACAAACTGTCTCTTTCCATCCTATAAAGTGAACATTCTTTATCACACCAAGGTTGTTGCTCTTTTGGGTTATAAGTGTTATGTGAGCTCGGGGCCTGGATTGCTCGGGGTCGTAGGATTCTTTGGTTGTTGACTTCATCACTGGTTCTGTTCGTTGCTTTCCAGGATTGCCACGGTCAGTCTCAGGCTGGTACTGGTTGTCTTTGATTATGAGGTTCTCGTTCTTGAAGTGGCCATGTTTGTTGTCATCTTTAAGTTGTCTCATAGTACAGCGCTGTTCGATTGTGAGGTAATTAGAGATTCCAAGTGAGTCCTTTCTTAGTTGGTCTCTCAGGCCCAAAGCCCAAACTTTGTCCTCACAATAAAAAGATCAGACGAACATAGGTCGAGGTCATCGGTTTTCCTTATTACCTGCTCTGTGTGCTGTGGCTAATGAATCCATGGTTAAAGGGAGGTCGTCTGCTTTAGCATTTCTGTTCAAAATATCACAAACAATTCGGTTACACTCTGCAATTCTTTCATTCTCAGACAGACATTATTTTTCCTGCTATATTGATCCTTTTTTTAAATTCCATTCTCAGTCTCTAGTCTGTCCTCAAGTTTCTTCAAAACTGTTTGGTCGCCTGATCTTCATTGACAGTAACTACTTTTCTCGTTAATGTAACTAAGATATACTATAGGCTGTCCTCGCTGACCGCTCCGATAGCCAGGTCCGTGACACTGACCAGTTCTCCAGACCTCGGAGCTCGCCGTC